CGATGCTCAGCATAATAGCGATGATGTAATTTTGACTACGCCCTGTTCTGCAGCACTACTTCAGTAGACTCTGCAGCTTCCACCGTGTAAGGGGTTCTTTGGATCTAGGGATTAAAGTTTAGAAGGTGTCACATCGGATATCACATCAGGTGTTCGCATATTAATAATAAAACTAATTACAGAAGTCATGACTAATTCACGAGACGAATCTATTAAGCCTAATTAATCCATCATTAGTACATGTTACTGTAGCACCACATTGCCAAATCATAGACTAATTAGGTTTAATAGATTCATCTAACAAATTCCTCTCAATCTGTGCAATTAGTTTTGTAATTAGTCTATGTTTAATACTCCAAATTAGTGTGAAACATCTGATATGACATAGACTAAACTTTAGGAGGTGGGAACCAAACACCCCTAAGCTAGAGCAAGTAGTGATTCGATGTTTTCAGGTTTGAGGTCGTACAATTCTATATTTAATCTAAATCAAAATATTTTCTTAGTTTGATTAAGTTTATTAAAAATATTCATTTATGATTCTAAATATATATTTTAGAAATATATTCTATTTTAAGTCTAATAGTAGAAATTTGATATGAGAAAAATAAACATTTGTACTTCTATATACATTTAATCAGCTACATTCTTTTCAGAACTAAGATACTACGCCCGTAGATTCCCTAAAAAAAAGATACTACGCCGGTAGAACTTTTATCAGGAGAGATGGACTGTGTAATTTTAGTTTCGCACTGGGCCTGCTGGCCTGGTACCGATCAACTATGAGCTAGGCGCTGGCCAATCAATGGCGTAGATCGCTGCTCCTTTAAAAAAAATGAAATGGGGTAGATCGCCGACGGAACAGAGCACCATACGTCCATACAGCTACGGCATGTATACGAACAAGTACACGTCCCTTCTGCTGTTCCTCCGCGACTCTCTGGGGCCTGGGTTAGATTTGCATTTTGTCCGAAGCAGGAGCCAAGGGTGGTTGGGCATCAATGCATCGTCGTGGATGAGGGCACGTAATTGTTCCAGAGTTTTTTTTTTCAATGACAGGAGGACGGCGATGAGGGTTGAAACGAAAGTTGCTGCGTCGTTTTGGATCTGGGTTTCTCAGCCTGTGTTTGTTTGGGGACGATATGGAATGCTTGAATTTGTCCTAAATTTACGGGTTGGGTTGAATCCATCTCTTGTTAGGTTTAGAAGGTTCGATTTATTCTAGTTTTATGTTTGGTTGAAAGAATATGGAAGTGGGTTGAGTCATTGACATGTGAGGGCCATTTGTCAGCCTCTGTCCCCTTCTTCTTCCTTCCGCTGAGTCCGCATGCGCCACTCGGCCTGCGCTCGGGTCTCCTGCACGCATGCGCCTTCCTCGCCCGGCCGCAACCTACTTGCCCGCAGTTGCCCCTCCGTGGCCGCAACTCGCTCACCATCAGCTGCCTAGATCTGCCCGCTAACCCACCCTGTGGCTCTTCCACCCTGCCATGGCTCGCTCGCACGGCCCGACCTCCTGCTCTGTGGCAGCGCCCGTGGTGCTCCGTAGGACACGCTGTCGTTGTTGCTTGCGCCGCAGCTTCTCTGCTGGGTGTGGGGGCCAGGGTCTGGACCTTCTTTGAGAGGCGGAAGGACAAGAGCCGGAGGGCGCGAGGCGGGCGGAGGCCGGGAGGTGCTGCGTCGCCGGAGGGAGGAGGCCACCAGAGGGGCATGGCCGCGTCCCTTCCTCTGCGCCGCCTGAGAGTTTTGTGCGAGGGAGTCAGGGAGATGCGCTGCCGGAGGAGGCTTCACACCACGTGCAGGAGGTCGTGCTCCATCTGGGTCGGCGCGGTCCGCTCGATTTGGTGGTACCGGGAGAACCTACATATCGTGCGAATATTCTCCTCTAGGTCCGACCCAGTTCAACTCGACTCCAAACCAAACACCCATGAAAACCGAGTTGAACCCATTCCAACCGAGTCTGTCCCACTATCCAAACACATGGTTACTCTGTTTGATATTTATAAAAAAAAGTGCATGGAGGCTGCTCTGTTTTCCTTGAACTGGACGGCGTTTCAGCAATTACTGTTCCACCACAGTGCTACGTTGTTAGTCGTTCTATTTTTCAGTACTACTTCAGCAATGTTTTTCAGCGAAGAAATAATATTTTTCTCTTATAACAAATCAGCATCAGCAACAGCGTGAGCTAAATTTCTGCGAAAATGAACAGGGCCATATCTTCTGTCCTTTGCAACATAAGTTATAACTGGCTTTATTTATGTTGTAGTCCTACAGATCAGCGCCTAGTACCACTCTTGCTCTCGTTATAATCTTTTACGCTCTGCTGACATCAGTTATAACTGTCCTTTGCAACATCAGTTATACGTTCGCTGGATCGTATCAGCCATGTTTATCAGTCATGATACAGTGTTTTTCTCTCATAATAAAATAGTATCAACCAGCTTATAAGCCACATAGACGTTCAAGCAAACACTATGACATTTACAATCTTTTAGGCTCTGCTGCATGTGGGCATGCTTGTACGCAAGCACACCTCACTGCTACTGCACTTCTACGATGATTATATCAAGCGGCTGTAAAATCTTCGTACTGCGTCTCCAGCTCGTAAATGTCATCAGGATGCGCAACATCAGCCTGTTCGCTTGTTAGTTTCAACCAGCCCAAACCAGTCAGCCAACAGTGTTTTCCTCTCACAGAAAACCAGCACCAACCAACCCAAACCAACACCAGCACCAACCAGCGAACAGGCCCCATATTTCTGCCGCGCGCGTTTTGAAAAAGAAAAGTGAAGTTGTTTTTCATATGGAATAAGCACTTTGTTTAACCGGGGATGGCTCAAACTAGGACTCCAGGAGTAGACGCTGTTCTGTTCTAACATGTAAGTGCAATCCACCTTGAAGCACGCACAGTGATCTTGTCTTGCTTGCCTGCTAGTCCATGGTCCCATGATCCAGCACTCATGGTATGGTATGCACGGAAACATGCATGGTCTCCATGTATGGCTTGGACCTCTCTGCTCGCCCGTTAACTGGTATCCAATCAGCAATCGTGTTGTCTCTGTCTCACATCTACCTTTCGTCGAGGACCGGCCATATGTACGGTAGGGGCAACTGACATCGTTTCACAGGGTTTAATTGAATGCTAAGTGCAGTACGGACTCAGACAGTCCCAATAAAAAAAACTGATACGGTTTCTATAGCATAAAAAATCATCTATAGAAACTACCTTTCACAGTGAAGGTGTCTTTGTGTAATAATTATTTTCTCTTTCTCTCTTCCAACTCTATCTTCTTCCTTCAATTGGAGTGTGACACGAGTCTTCTGGAAACTGGTGGTTTCTCTCCAATGGTGATTTCATGGTTTCTTGGTGCATTGGGTCAAGAGAAGACCTAATTTCTTCATGAGGAAACTATTTCTAGGATTTTTGCTCTCTTTCTTCATTAATTACGTTGTCATGTCAGCATTTTACCTATATGGCAAGTCATTTAACGAGGATAGTCATCAATACATCATTGGGGCTGCCCTCGTAGAGCCACTGTACCAACTCTCGTCTGCTACTCATCAAGTTTCTGTCTGTGATCAACTTCTTGCATGCCGACGACCAAGCAAGCAAGCAGCCAGCAAACATGGGCTGCTGTCGAACCACAATTGTGGGTTCATTCATGGCTGGATCGATAAGAATTCAGATCGATACCACGATTATATTCAGAGACAAAGTGATAAATAAAAGGCTTGGCAACAGGGCCGTGCCCCATACATGTGCAAGACGTGCGACTGTACGGGGCCTCCCATCCGTAGGGGCCTCAAAAATTATGGCTCCGACTCTATAAGATTTGCTGCCAACGTTGCATCTCTTGTATCAGCCAGTCGCCCCATATAAGCGTCTTCATATTGCCAATCAAGCAAGCCGATGCTGAGTGACTGAATCGCCATCCGCACATGACTTAAGAGCGGAGGCTACCAAGGGTTGAGTATGTACCATTCTTGATTTATCGCAATACTATGTACATACTATTATTGTTCTATTTATCTAGGCTGATAGGGCCTATTTTAGAGTTCGGAACAAAGCCATAGATTTTACCGGCACGGCCCTGCTTGGCAAGTAAGTGTATCATTAAGCTAGAAACATGGTGTGTAGTCCTTTGAATCAGAGGCCCTTCAAACTGCTGTGCTGTGTGTGTAAGGTGTACCGAATCCAATCCCCTTAGGTCTTGTTTGGATGCGCATGTATTAATCTCAATCTACATGTGTCGAAGTAGATTGGAGTGAAATTAAACTAAATTTTATTCCATTCCACTCCAACACATGTGGATCGAAGTGGATACACGTGCATGCAAACAAAACCCCAAAACCTTTTAACTCATGTGGTGGCCTAGCCTCTGTAAGTTCGTTCGCTGGCAAATGGGGGATCACCGGGTTACTGTTCGCATTAGCCCCTCAGGTTAGTAGGCTCTAGAACTAGAATGGCAAGCTAGCAGCAACCACCATGAAATGTTCTCATGGCAGGCAGTGGAACTGGTTCAGAATCTGAAGCTATTAAAACCTGGCGGCCTGACCCCTCTCGAGTGGTTTCAGAGTTTTCTCTTGTCTGCGTCAGCGTCACCGATAACACAAACTGAAGGGAAGGTGAACAACCCTGAATAAAGAATACAGGTCCTAGCGTCATGAATGAACCCTCAAAATGTTGTTAGACTACAGGTTCTAGCGTCATGAATGAACCCTCAAAATGTGGTTAGACAGCATCTGGTATATACTTGTTTGTTGCTTAAATACGTCAGTCTTACGCGACAGTGACAGTGCAACGAGACTCAAACCAACTTGTTGAAATAAAAGAAACCAAAGGGGAAAAAAAAAGAAAAGGATCACCCAATGAAAAACATCAGCTACAGGCAACACCTTGAACAGGTCACGAATCCATGGCACACGGAGATAAGATTACAGAGGGCAAGCGTGCAGGCTCTGGATGGAGGATTTGGAGGTGGTGAGCAGAGCATCGGCTGGCGTCTAGTAGAGTGAGTCGACTGTCTTGTTGAGCTCCTCGAGCTTCTTCATCCGCATCCTCTCGCTTTCGCTCACAAGCTGCAACAAATATCCCAGGCGATGCAGAGCAAGAGCAAGTCTTTAGTGATTCGGAAGCTAATGAGTATCAAGAGCTGATTACAGTGATTCAGAGAGGTTTTACCTCGATTAGCCTGTTCACTAGCAGCGCCTTCTCTTTGCTCTTGTCGTTGTACGCCTCCAGGACCTCCTTATATTCTTTCTCCTTTATTTTTTTTCAGTTGACCAAAACAAAATCCACATGTCAACTCATGAAGATATATATAACAATTATCTTCTAGCTAATCCATGCAACGCAATATGTGAGCGCTCTCTCTCTCTCACCTTCTTGACGCAGCTCTTGCTGAGAGGCTTGAGCTGACGGTTCACCGTGTCCATCCGCTTCCGTATGGACTCCACCTCCTTCCGTGTAGGATCCGCCATCCCTTCCAGCTCCTGATAACAAAGGAAACAACAGCAGGGATTTATACCACCTTGTGTTCGCGCAAAAATCCCACGAAATCCCTAATAACAGAGCGAAGGTAACTGACGGACGGACAGACGCACCTGCCTGATGAAGGCGAGTCGCTTGGACTCCTCCTCGACGCGTCCGAGGTGCGCGAACATCTTCTCCCGGACCTCCATCTTGCGCCTCTCGATCAGCTCCTCCTTGGCCTTGAACACCGAGAGCGCCGACCTCGAGGAGCCCTCGCCTTCGTCCTCGTCGCCCGCGCTGCTGCCCAGCGACGACGGGTGCTTCGCCCGCAGCACCATCTGCATCGGCTGCTCCACGCCGCCGCCGCCCTGCATATTCCCCTCCTCCTCTAGCTCAGGCAGCTCCGCTGCGTACGTCGGCTATTCTCTCTTCTTTCTCTTCCTCGCTTCACGCCATTTATAGCACAAGCTGCTTGCCTGCAGGTCGCCGTGGCCTCTGCTGTTGCTTTCCCGGCAATGCTGGTTGTCTAAGCAAGCGTGCACAGTGGCAAGCAAATGGAACTGAGGAAAAAGGCAAAACAATAGCTAGCAGAACTGCTGCTGTGTCGCCCAAGGAAGAACTGCCAAGAGGCGGCATCATCCCTCCGTCACTACAATTTGTCTTTGATGCACATGCATGTGACCGAGCAGCGTGTGCGTGCGGGAGCGGCGCACGCACGGTAGCTTCTGCCAGAGACCACCACCAATCTAGATGGCGATAGCGATCAGATCAGCCGATCGATCAGATCACTGCACCGTATAGTATTGTATGGTTGCTGTTAGGTGGTGATGTCGTGCCCTGCCGGCTGCCGCCAGAGGTCGAGTACAAGTAACTCTATCTTCCCCTGCTCTGCTCGCCCGGGAACTGTGCCGGGGAAGCGACTCCGGTGGCGTGGCGGTGAGGTGAGGTGATCTTTTCCTCGGGTTGGTGCGCCCGCGTCTCGTCGCGCGCGCTTGGACGTCGCTGAGCCCTCGGCCTACGCATCGGCGCATCGATCGTCGTCTTGCCAACTTTTTCCCGTCCCACTGTTTTTGTGAGGGCGCGGCGACGACGACTTGGTGCCTGCAAGTCTGAAACGCTTAGAGAGAGAGAGAGAGAGGCCGACACGCCGTCGGTCAGTCGCCATCGCCACCGGAATGGATCGACAACTGAGACGGAGCGTCGGTCCGAGAGCGAGGGGGGAGAGATCAGAGATGTCCGGCCGGCCGAGAGTAGCAGCAGCCAACGCATGGCAGTATGGCACAGCAGGCGTCAAACAGCAGCTGGATGGAACCAAACCCAAACTTCTCTCACTGTGCTTCGCCGTTGCCGTTTCTCCTGTCATCCTTTTGTTGGCCTTGTGATGAAGCGCTGCAGCGTTATAAAGATCCACAAACAAGGCCACATCACAAAGCTGGCATGTCGACTCAGAAATCGTCCTGTTTCAGTAACAAATATCAAGGACGTTCATCATCATGGTTACCGATGGTAAGCGACCATCATAGTATACGCAGCATGATGTGAAATCATCTCAAATCTTGTCGAACGTCATCCTGTACCAGTTGGCAGCGGGTAGCAATACCAATATACGGGTGCTAGTTGGAAAAAAGGAGCTGCATGACGTGTAACTCGACCTCAGTGGAATAACAAACTTTTCTTCTACTTAGCTCAGCTAAGACATCAAACTTTCTATGCATATCCATGCTAATTTTTTACTGACGCAAAAAGAACCGCAGAAGAGTAAGTGGGAGTCGGGGCTCGGGTTCACCATAACGAGAATTTGAAGAATTTGCAGCAAAAAGGAACAGCAGAGTAGCTCGGTTTAGGCTAAGATTCATCAGTTGCTGAAACAAGGTGTCCAATACAAATGTACCCTTAAACACAAAGCATCTACAGAACAAAGTCACTTCGAACACTGCGGCTCCAGCTGGTACATATATATTTTTCTTTAATAATCATGTAAATAGGAGCTCAGGACGGGAGGATCAGCGGCATGGCTGTTTACTCTCCTGGCGCAGAGACCCCCTGCTTCAGCTTTTCTCTCTTCAGCTTCTTCTTCGAGACCAGCTTCTTCTTCTTAGGCGGAAGCGTCTTCTGCGCATACACATACAGCGCATAGTTCCCAACGAAGAAGAGCAGCAGGAAGCTTGCAACAACAAGCAGAACCACCATTCCTGGGTTCAGGCCCTTGTTCACCTCCTCAATGACCACATTGTTCTGAAACACAGGTGGCGTAGTCTATGAGGAAAAAAAAAAGGAAACTGAAGACAAGAGTAGTAAACTAGGTGCATGGGCCTTGCAAGATCATATGTTGAAGGTTAGGATAATCAAACAACAGATCAACACGTATATCCTTTACAAATTGGCAGACCAAATGCTAACTGAACAGCACCATAAAGATACGAGTAATATCTCTATTATAGAGAGCTTGTGCTAACTGTGATCCACAATTGCAAAGACTAATCACAACACAAAGATGAAGCATAATTTGAATCTATCAGTAAGGCAATTGGCAGTCCTACAAAATCTTCACAAATAGGTTCATAGGGCCGGTGTAGATAAGTGATATACTGATATGCGTGCATACTACAGTCACCATTTATTTAGAACCAAATATGCAGATTAGTTAGCACATAGATCAACTGATAGCAGCTCGATAATAATCAAACTACAGCCACTCAGCATCAACTAAAAGGTAACTTAAAAACAACTAATAAAGGATTACACATCCAAACACTAGCTAGCCAGGTAAGTGTGCATCAAAGTAGGGGAACAGATAGTATGCTGGTAACCTTGTAAATTTATAAAATGCACAAGATTTTTAAAGACATCAAACTAATCAGATTATTCTAACAGATAACATCGGCTATCTAGAGAATTGGACAGAACTAAAACACTGAACACTATATTGATCAAACATGACACACATATGTGATAGTCAGAAAGCTCCAGACCTGTAAGGCTGTAACAGTTAGCAAGCTAATGCAAATTTTGCTAGTATATGATATCAACGCTCACGAACAAGATAAAAGCACTCCGCAATCTCTTTTCTAGGACACAACTGAAACATGCATTTTCTAACAACCACAATTATGATATGACCTACTGATCACGTAGAAGCCTTGCACAAATTCTACAGATCCAATCCTCCACACATCAAATTCAAAGCAGATGCGCCAAAATCAGCTACAACTCCGATCAGGGTACGCTTACTGCTACAAGCCACAACATCGCAACAGACAGCCGCCGCCGCCACAGGAGCAACACCATCCACCCTAAATGCTTCGCCCAAGGTGGCTCGCGCGAGCAGGAGGGAACCTGCCAGTGCACGAAGCCCAGAGAGCCGGGCAAGCGGGACAACGGCCTGCCCGCGCCACGGAGCCAGTGCCGAGCATCGAAGCCCACCCGGGCGAGAGGACACCAGATCCGGGGAAGGTAGGACCGGATCAGCACCTGGAGGCCCCGGATCCACACCGCCACCGACCGGACGGCCGCCGACGCTGCCGGAGGTCGAATCGCAAGATGGAGAAAGAGAGGGATAGGGGAGGGAGAAAAGGTGGTGCAGACAGGCAACGGCGGCGGCCGGGGGAGGGGGCAATCGGTGGTTTTTCGGCGGCGGCGGCGAAGTCGCCCAGAGAGACGACGCGGAGGGGCACCGCGTCTGACCTTCACCTCTGTACATTCGAACCTGCTTTGGACTCCCACAGCATAGTAAGGATTAGGGAAGGAAGAACTCGAGGCTTACAGCTGAATCCGCGAACTGATCCGCCATGGCGGCCGCCTGATCTGTGACGACACCCCGCTCTGGATTGTATGGATTTTGCCGAAGGACGGATGAGGTGAGCACGAGAGTTGACGAGGACGAATGGTAGATTCTGAAGAAAAGCTCACATTTGCGCTGCTGGTCCCTTGCGTCCTTCCAATATCGATATCACCCCCTTCGCTTCGCCCGTTTCCAGGTCGTGGTTTTGTGGGCCGTTCGATTTGGAAGTTTCTAGTAGCTTTATTTATTGTTGTTATTACGTCAAAAAAAATATTGTTGTTTGTATGTGCATCATTTTTGTTTTGATTGACAATTTAAGATAAGTTTGCACGAGTGTTTATCATGACGTATGTTTTTTAGATTTGTGTTATAATAGCAAATATTCCGTGAGTTCTGACGTGACCTATAATTTAGGTTTTGTTACACGGCTTCACTTTACCACTAATGTTATTTTTTTTTCGGCTCCACCAACAGCTCTGCCGACGGAGCTGGGTCGTTTTTATAAATTGTTTGATAAAAATAGCTTCTCATAGTGGACACAAAAGACTGAAATGACCGGCCCTTTTTTTTTCCTATTCTTATCTTCTTGTTTGTGTCTTCTTCCCCATCTGCGAGCAAAGCATTCCAACCACGGCTCCTTGCGCACGTCGGCTAGGCCCCGTGTCTCAGTGGCGCACACGTCTGCTGGCTCCTTGCTTCTTCTCCGGTGGTGGCACACGCCTTCTTCCTCGGCAGCCGGTTCTCACCGAGTGTGTCGGGACACATCCGGGGTGCCCCCACGACACGGCCTACGAAGCACTTCGGGCGGCCTAGTAGGCCACAACTCAGCATCCGCGGCTCGCCTCGACCACTCTCGACCACGCAGCCCGCCTCGAACATCCCGGGCCTCGGCCAACCTAGTACGGATAGGACCAGGAGTGGATGGCGCATTAAATGTACCTGCCACGATGAGACGAGCACGCATCGCACACTGTCTTAGGACAAAGAAGGACGATGACCACCTTACAGACCACGGTGTGCATCGACCACCTAACGGACCGCGGGGCCTTGGGATACGTCGACCACCTTCTGCACCGCGCGAGGTCCTGGGGTAAAGCATCACCCCTTGGACCGCTCCCCTCACGAAGTTAAGGGACCACTCTATGACAGGGCAACATCAAAACATGGCACAGGACTGCCCACCCCTGCCTGACTTGACAAGCAGGTGTATGGCCATGCCTACCGCAAGCATGGGTCTCACGACTAGGAGTCGATTTCCTTGGAACCAGCCAGGCCATAGGACCCTCGACCCGACCCTGTTCATGCGCTGACGCCACGACGCTCCCCCCAGGATAGCGGGCACAAGGATGGAGGCCACTATGCACACTATGCACCCACATTTTACAGGTCGGCAAGTGGACAACCACGACCCACACTATGTCACTATGGTGCACCATACCTTGACGTGGAGAATAAGAACCTGTGATGGAACTCGAACAAGCAATAGAAGTAGAGACAAGACGCAGAGGGCCTACAGACTAAGCTCGCCAACCGCCACCCTCCTCTCGGGCTCTCGACCACTCGGGTTGGGAGAGCCATTCCCTCTCGATTGTCACCCGACCCCAAGACTATATAAGGGGAGCCGGACCTTCATTCTGGGAGGGGTTTTTTCCTATCTTGAATCTTTTCACTTCCAAACCCGCAATAGAACTGAGGACTTGAACCGAGGAACACGAACTCAAACCCCTCTGAGACTGGACGTAGGGATCTAGGCCTGAAACAGTATAACTTTCCCATGTCTCGAGTGCTTCCCATCGATTCCTAGCGCAGCGCGGCGCTAAATTTAGTGGTCGGTTCTCATAACACCGACGGCGTGCGTCTTCTAGGGCAAAACAGCCCTCGATCGTTGCTAGGGCCCACCAGGACAAGTTGAAGCCGGGTAAAGCCACTATTTTCAACTCCACCCTCCACATATTCTTTTAGCTGGTTTTAAGGGTCTCTCTAGGTGAAGCTGTTTAGTTTTACCCTGTTTGGCGCAAAACGACTTCAAACAAGTCTTGAAGATGGTGGAAAAAACATGCCAAACGGGACCTTATTACTTCATATTTACACAGACAATGAGCTAATAATTTATTTGGATTTAGGGTTTGTTTGGAAGCACATGCCTAGTTACCAGTTAGGGCTAAAAATTAGCTGTGTTCGCTAGCTAGTTGGCTAACAACTAGTCGAAAACTTAGCTAAAGAATAGCCCACCTATTAGCTCTCCTGTTTAAACGCACTAGAGCTAATTTTATCTAATTTTTAACAAGCTAGTAATTAGCCCCTTAGGACCCGTTTGGAAACTGGTTTATAGTTAAAATATAGTGTTAATTATGGATCCTTATTTTTTCCGACATGGTTTGAAAATTTTGTTTGGCGCTGCTAGCACCTGGATGTCTAGACGGACGCGAGCGTCTAGACGCTCGTGGTTGCAATCGATTTCCCCTCCGTTTCGTGCGTCCACGTGTCGCCCGGACTTCGCTCGACCGCGCCTGCTCACTTGTACCCACACGGGGGCCCACACCGCCCGAATGTCACCCACGCGAGGATTGCTTGCGCCCCTCCCACTTCCCATGTGCATCCCATGTGCAACACTTGGTCTACTTTTGAAACATCCAGATGCAACACTTGCAACATACAAAAAAAGATATATAAAACACTCGAAACATGCATCTGAAACACTTGGAAAAACAATTGATAGCCATCGCAAACATATGGAAACATCCAGATAAAACACTTGCAATATATGTGTGAAACATATGCAACATCCAGATAAAGACACTTGCAACATACGTCCAAAAAAATAGATGAAACATTGGAGACATATGCTTACAACATACGTGTACAACCATTACAGCATATGCAACATCTCGATCTGCTTTTGCAACATCTGTGTGAAGCAAATGAAGCATACCTCTAAAGCATCTGAAACATTTCAAATGTATACTTGCAACATGCATCGTATCCTGGTGCGGCCTCCTCCGCCATCTGCATTGGGGCGCCATAGCCATAGCAGGAGATGAGGCTAGAGGGCTTCCGCCATCTGCAACATCCAGAGCGCTTCTTGTGCTAACAGCGTCGTCGCTGCGGGACGAACAACGAAGCAGGAGCAACAACACGAGCAGCAGGGTGCGCACACAGAGCATCACCGAGAACAGCGGCAGGAGGAGCGGGGTAGGCGCGCGGAGCATTGGCAAGAACAACGGGGCGAGCATCGAAGTGGGAGATGGACAGGTGATGATGAATTGACTAGATATTAATAAGCAAAGGTTGTGTCACATGGTCCCACACCCTGTGTTTGCCCGATACTCGAGTAAAGGTCAGACGCTCAAAATTACAAATTTTTGTTTGGATAACCAGTGAGCACTCTAAAAATATAGCTGGTTTGGTCTAATACCGTTGTTTTTTAGATCAAAGGCATTGCCTGGCTTTATTGAAAGCTTAACGAGCCCAGGATCCACTGCTAGGGATACCAGCTTACAATAGAGTTCGGAATGTTAACGAAGCGCAACTTAACATCACCAAAGATAAAACCTACAACTCTACTCAAATTTAGACCGAACTCAACGAAACCACACTGTTTGGGACTATGATAACATCAAAACCAATGCCAGCATTACATTGTAGCAGCATTCGCCGATAACAGCTGAATCATGTCCTCTACAACGGGCTTCAGCTTTGGTTTCAACAACGGGCTCCATGTCTTCACCACCATAACCGTCTTGTAGATGAGTGCCACCGAAGAGGATAGTATCTTCTTGTTGAACACCACATCATTACGTGTCTTCCAGATTGACCATAGAGTGCCTGCACATAAGAACATAGTTACCACCTGCTTCTTACCTCTACATTTCTCTATGATCTCATAAAACAAGGATGTGTAGCTGATGGGGGATGACACCCAGCCCAAGCAGTCACGCATGAATGACCACAAAAACACAGCTATGGGACATTGAAAGAGAATGCAATCAGAGGTTTCAAGAATGCCACACATAAAGCACTCCTCGGGACCAGACCATTTCTTCTTTTTCAGCTAAACTCCACATTGTATCCTATCATAAGTTGCCATCCACATAAAGATTTTGACCTTCAAAGGAATGGTGCATTTCCAGATTATCATCATTTGTTGATCAACAACCCCCAGATGTCATCAATTTGTATAAAGAACTGGTAGAATATTTCTGAGATTTTTCCAGGAGCCAAACAACCTCATCTCTTCCTTCAGCAAGCTCAACACCTTCCAACAAGTCCATAAGCTGGGACCATGCCACAATCAGATTTGCACTAAGTTGTCTCCTAAACTCTAGATGCCATTCATCATTCACAAATGCTTTAGCTACCTCTATGTCTATATGTGAGGCAATATTGAAAAGGTTAGGGAAGTTTATCTTCAAAGGACAGGAGACCAGCTCTAATTTTAACACCCCGTCCTTTTTTGGTACCATTCTCTCATGTCTAATACAGTCTTCTAGAACTAAGATCCTCTTCTATTCTTGATCTGAAATATGCTTTTATTCCCTAGGTATTTGTTCCTCAATAAGGTACAACACAAACTATTACCACTTAACCATCAAGCACACATTCATAGCTCTAACATCCATGAAACTAGACCTCCAAACACTTTAGGCCTGTTAAGAGCTTCCCACTTTATCATATGATACTTTCTTTTCTTAGAAGTTCCTTGCCAAAAAAAATCTGGATCTCATAGTATCTAATTTCTGAAAGTTGCCTTCATACAAATGATAAACAACCATGGTGTACATTAGAATACTTGAAAGACATGAGTCTATTAATGTGGATTTGCCACCTGATGATAAGTACTCACACTGCCAAGTTCCCAGCCTCTTCTCAGTTTTCTCACTAACATAACTCAATTGAGCTTTGGAGATTTTGAAGCAGCTAATAGGTGAAAGCCCTAGTTTGGTTTTGGATAATTGATGAAACCCTAAGACTAACCTTTGATCAAAGTGTGTGAATTAGATAAGGTAGTC